CGATTTTCGGGGAAAACAGCTGACCAAAAACTATCATGAACTATCATACGCGTGGTCAAACGAGAAAAATTATCATCGACTATCATGAAGAATTTGAACAAGCTCAAAATGAATGATAGTTGGTGATAGTCGATGATAGTGCATGATAGTTTGTGGTCAAACGGAAGCGCGCGCCTCAACTATCATCGACTATCATCAACTATCATCGACTAAAGAATGCATACGGTTTGAACTCACCTTAGACCCACACTAAGGCCTTCCTGACATTTGCCACAGAGTACCCCTGTCCTGTTATGATCACATTGATTGTCGATATCATTCGGTTTGAATACACATCCGGGCAAGTCGCCTTCTCGCTCGCAGCGGCAGTAGTGAGGAGGACAGAAGTACGTTACCAGGCGACCGTTGATTTCTCCTCCCCACTGACCCTCTCTCAAGTAGACTGTGCGGTCATCATCAGCACATCTGTTATCAAAGAAGATATGTAAGTTTGTTAAAGCGAAGATTTTCAGTCAAAGAAAGGTACGCGTTTTCTTAACTCTTAAACTCTCGAGATCTAATTCTCAATTCTCCTCTCTGGCTGCTACACATTTCCTTGTAAATCAGTTAAGTGAATTTCATGTTAGACGAAGATAACAATTCCTGCCTGATAGGTTTGAGTATTCTGGTTACCTGTTTGCTAAATAATGTATGGAAATTAAAGAGACAAGTTATATGTTAATCTGTTCTGAGAGTTTAGGGGTTAAACACCGAAGAAACATTAGAAACTCATTTTAGATGATACCCATTATGGCCAAGTGGCAAAGCAAAGGTACAGAATGCTTGAGAACCCAATTAGCAATTAACCAACTTATCAACAATTGATAATGAGTAAAACTAAATTCTTTTAATTTCCTAAAAGAGCATAGTGGAAGGGGAAAAAAAGGAAACACTTGAAAGACAAGGATGCCTCTAACAAATTTCCACTTGCTTCCAGTGGGGTGGCTCCAACTTCGACTTGCCAAAAGTTTGGCCACTTCCAAGGTTCTTAAGTTTCCATGTTATCGAAGGAGAGCAAACTTACTGAAAGGTCTAGAACAAACTTGCTGAAAGTTCTAGAACAAACGTTTCAAGAGCGCGTTTTGCGCACCTACCCCTCCCTTTAGCCAACAACAGTCAACTGATAACAAATTGGGGTTACTGTTGGGTTGGGGGAGGGGTGGGTGTGCAGTTGCTCAGATATTGACATTTATTCCAAAGTTCTTACACAATACGCCAAAATGCAGGTAATCAAAAAGCTTTACCTAAGTACGCCCTCGATCGTTTTATCACATTTACACCGTGTGCCTTCAAACTTGAATCCTGGTTTACAAGGAACTGCGGTCACGTTAAACATGTATCTGTTCTTAAGTGTGGAGAAGATGTCTTCCAACTGAAAATGGTGCACTGACTTATTTTTCACCTCATCGTACACAGTGTTGTTAGCCAGCCGATACGTTAACGGTAGAGATTGCTTGGTGACCGGAGACAACAAGTGCATGATGTTATTCAGTTGAAGTTTGGTTTCAGCGTCAGAGATTCCCGTTTCAGATAAAGTCGCGACAGTGAAGATTGTGTGGTTTAATTCATCATAACCCTGGATGTTTAGCGACACATCCTCACCTGGCGAAAGCTGAAACAAGCAGGAAAAATACATAACGTACTGACTTCGGCCAGGCCTACAGGGGGCACGCGCTTGGGTTTGTAGATAAAAGCCAGAACTGACAGAGCAGTGGGTCATGTCTTGAAAGGGATAGTCGGATTCTAGTGTCTAGATTCGGACACCGTTGTCCAAAATCGAATATCAGTGTCTTAAATCGGACACTAGTGTTTAACATCGGAGACTAGTGTCTAAAATCGCAAACTATTGTCTAGCATCCGACACTGATGTCTTAAATCGGACACTAGTTTCCAAAATGGGACACTAGCAGTGTTTAAAAACAGACACTAGTGTCTTACATCGAACACTATCGTTTAAAGTCGGACACTTGTGCCTAAAATTGGACACTATTGTCCAAAATCGGACAGTAATGTCTAAAATCGGTCGCTAGTGTCCAAAATCGGACTCAAGTGGACTAGAATTATTTCGAGTCTTGGCTCAACTGTGATGTAAGGATAACGTTTTGCCTAAATTTTATTCTCTTACCCCATTAAATAAAAAGAGGAATGCGTTGGCTTAACCTACCTCTATATTCATGTCTTGATTCCCTTCTGCTTTAAAGTGGTGTGTATCAGTTGCTATGTCATACTCTGGTCCAATTAGCGCCTTAAATTCCTTAGCGGGAAGGATAAAATTACCGCGATACTCGAACGTATTATTCCAGCGGATTGCTTCGTGGACACTATGAAATGGATACTTCTCGTTCCACAGACAGGCGCTAAGTGTCGAAATATAGACGGCGGCGCCTTTGATTTTAGCACTGTTCTTTACAAACGACACCGTTGCCTTTCGGAAAAGAAAAAAACCAATTTGTTTAGTCATCTTTGTGATTAACCTGTGCACTGAAGCTTTCTAACGGTATGACAGAACTTGGAGTGATTTTGTGACATTTCACTGCACATAATGGCGCGCACAAACGGGTGTGCACTCAATAGCACGCCGAGATGGACTACTATCAAGGGGGAAATCGAGAAAAGTGAAACGGAGATTCTTTGTTAGTTCTTTTTCGTTTTTATATCTGTGAGAATGGTCACTGGAAAGGGTTTTTTTTTCACTTCATGTAACTCCGCCTGGAGTGCATTGCATACATTTCAGCCAGTCCCAAGCCCGGATAAAGGAGGAGGGTTGTGCACAGGGTCAGCAGCCCGACCACGTAAATCGAGGTCTGCTAAAAGTTCTTAGGATGGTCAGTAACTTAAAGGACAGAGCTAGCAAGGGCTTAGCATAGTATTGGCAGAGATGTAACACCTCAATGAGAGCCACAGTAATTAAGGGTTTTCCAAAGACAACCATATTCGAATATCTTACCTTCCATTTGGATGGGGCAGTCTTCTCTTCGCTATAAGTAACAAAACATTCCGGATTATACTCGTGCACGAATTCATACTTCGACCTCGTAAATACAAAAATTGCTCCACCAACACCACTGGCATAATTCTGAAGAAAAGTCATGTGACTACCCGGGTGCAGAATAATCTGACTGGAGCTCAAAAGGGCGGCCCCTCCATAAGATCCTGAGTTTTTTACGAATTCTAGGGAGCCCTTCACGAGTATTCGACCTTCTTGGTACTCTAGAGCTCCTGCACCGTGATTCTCCCTAAAAATATTCCGTCCAGTAAATTTTGCGTTCACCCTCTCACTCGTAAAGGCGCTTGTGTACGTCTGGTAATTTGCGCAGTGATTCTGTATCGTGCAGTCAATAAATTCTGGTGTCACATTAATAGGAAATCCGACAGGAAGGGTTGTATCGAGACGAACAGCAGCACTAGCACGGCCACTGTTTCCATCTAAGGTAGCGTTTTTAAACTGCATCAGAGATCCAGAGAATGGTCCAAAGTAACTCATTAAAAATACATTTAAACCACCACCTCTTCTAGACCAGTTCTCTCTTATAACACATTGCGTGACACGGATTGCGTTACCTGACGATGCACCGGAAACAGTGATGCTTAAACCGCCTCCGCCTTGCGATGCTCGGTTTTTCGAGAAACTCGACCTTTTTATTTCCATTGAATTCCTTGCAGCCGTCTGAATGGAGCCGTAGAACAATCCTCCTCCAAACGTAGCATGGTTATGATCAAAAGATGAGTCCTCAACCAGAGCGCCACATGAACTTGCGTTTGACCTGAACACTATTACTAATCCCCCACCTATCAGGTTTAAACCAGGGAGAAGCGATAATGAACTAGGAGGAATGAAATTCTCTGAATTATTCACTGCAGCTGTGTTACCAGTGAAATTTGTGTTTCGGATGACAAGAGTTAAACCAACTGCATGTTCAAACACAAAACCTGCCCCCCCAGAGATGGACACGGAGGTTGGAATTACCCGACTGTCTAATTCCCTGAGTATTTGCAAGTTGGAGGTGTTATTGACAAAGGAGCAACCCTCTACTTTAACACCGCTGTCAAATACGTTTAAACCAGATCGATTGTTGTTTCGGAATCCACAGTTGGTGAAAGAGATGTTGTTGGATTGCCAAACCATAACAACAGCCGCAACGTAGGGAGAGAATTCTTCAAACTCGATGTTCGATACATGGACGTTATAAGTAGTGATGGCTTTTGCGTCTTGCAACCCTATGGTGATCACTGATGTATAAAGGCCATTGGCACTGCGTATTACTGTAGAAACATTGCTGGATGTTATATGAATATACCTGTTCATTCGAGGCTGTAAAATCTGAACATCTTCCTCCAAACTGTAGAGTCGGTCTTCTATAGAAAACTCAAAGACTGTCTCTTCATCAAAGGCACTTTCGTGTAAAATTTGAAGCGCATAGCTGAGAGATCCACAAGGTTTGCTCGCGTTTCGCTGCAGGCAGCTCGAGTTATCGACGCCACGTTTTTGAGAGATGAAAAGCTCGAATGTCGCACCAACAGAAAACATTACCATCATAAAAGCAATCAGAAACATCTTGAAAGTTTTCAAGATATTCCAAGGGATCTTTCAATGGTCACTTTTCATCAAAGATTTTTGATTTCGTCCATACAAGAGACGAAATCTTCAACCAAAAAATTCGAATTTTCTTGATGATTCCTGTCCCGTGCTTTTAACTTTCTCGTCACGCAATACCAAATGAAAACAATTGACTTTCGGTCTAAGAGGTATTGTGTGTCAGTCTCGTCGATGACGGATCAAGGCGAGGGAGATCATGTGCTGCGCGTATGATTGATTTCATCAACCATCGGGGGATAGTATTACAAGTGTAGAGTAGAGTAGACATCTTTATTTATACAGGATAGCCCCTTCAGTGTAGTAAACACTGGTATCAACTGGGGTCCTGAAGATTGTGTGGTTTAATTCATC